GGGGGCGGGTCTAAGGGACAGGTGCTGGGCAGGGGGCAGGGGTCCTGGAAGTCTCCAGGCCACGGGAAGAAATCGGAAGACGGGTACCGACCCCATGTACCCTCTCTTGGAGCGCAAGCCCCAAGTGAAGGGATTCTTAGGACAGGGCGGAATGCGGAGGGTAGGGCCGGGTCCCCTACGTTAGACTCCTGCTCCCCTCGTTCACAGCTCGGCAAAAATTTGATGAGAATTCTGGGATCCCCAATGGAGCCCAGTGCTCAAACCAGGGGCTACAGATTCCGCGAATGGAGAGCTAATTCTGCACTAGGCCCCGCGCCCGTCCCTTTGAAGCTTAGGGGTCCCCTAGACCTCGCCAAAGTATTCGGTCCTTCCCAAGGCCCTGTCCCTCGTGCTCCAGGCTCACCATCTGCCACAGCTCGTCCTTCCGAAGCTCTGCCCCTGCGGGGACCCAGGCTCCACCCCGACCCCCGGACACTGCCTGCAGAGGGGTTCTAGACCTGCCACTCCAGCGTCCATCTCAACTGCCGTCCCCAGAAGGTACCCGACTGCTTTCCCTGCTTGAATCCCTCCCACTTCCAGAATTGCAGACTTTCTCCTTAGAGTCCCAGGACATTTCCTAAGAGCCTCTTCTTTTAAGAGCCCCAAGCCACAGGGGCCTTTGGCCCCACTCCCACCCCCTTTATTGGGTTCCAGGCTCCAAGTCCTGCTCAGAGCCTGGAAGCTCAGAGGGTCAAATTCAGCCCCTTCCCTTTATTATAAATCCAAGGTCCCGCCCTCTTCTCACTCGAACCACAAACTCCGCCTCTCTTCTCCCAAAGGCCCCGCCCCCAGAGCTGCAGGCCCCGCCCCCAATTGCCTCTTTTTCTTGCAGCTTCAGGCCACACCTTCTCCCAGAGAGAGTTGGACTTGTCCTACACTTCAGGCCCCAGGCCCCACCCTTTGCATGCTTGCCGTTTCTAAACTCCAGGCCCCATCTCAGCAGTTTGATTCTTAAGGTTTCTATTTCTGTAGTGCTAGCTCCGCCCCCGGGTATACAGGGCTCTCCCACACAGGGTACTGGGGCCACAGGCCCTGACCTCAGGGCCGTCCTCTGACTAAGAACAGCAAGTGAGCCAACTTGGCCCCGTCCCCTACTCCTCTTTCCAGTAGAAGGTGTGCAGCGTGGGTGGGAATTCCTTCACCCCTCCCTTGCAGCGAGACACACGGATGACTCACACAGCCACATTCACACCGTTACTGCCATCTACAGTAATGCACGCCTCCGTCCCACACTGACACCTAGAAATCCGGGCCTACCCACCGTCCGGGGACGCAGAACCCCGGAGCAGTACCAATGGCACTTGTGCCTCATTCACGGGTATTTGTGGGTTGACACAGTACGACTGTGGAGTGCCCGGCTCTGCCCACTCAATGTGCTCCATGTCCTTGCCCTTGTGCGGCCCCTAGATCCCTCCCTGTTCACTTGGCCCTGCAGGAAGGACATCGAATCCCTCACCCATTTCCCCCTCTCTCCATTTCCTACCCTGTGGCTGGAGCATTTGCTGGGGGCGCTGCCGAAATTTCTTCCTTCTGCCTGCAATCCAGGGCATCTTCAATACTCGTTGCTAGGCAACAGCCTCTGGCTCACCACTGCAACTTCCGGGGACAGCATTGGCTTCCCATCCCCCCAGAATATGGAGTCCCCAGCTTCCAATTTTTATTTTCCTGGATTGTGTCTGTCACCCCTGGATCCTGATCTGATCTCAACACTTTAAAAGCCATCAGTTCCAGATCCCTGGCATTCCAGAAGCTTCTCCCCATGATTCTCTCTCCACACAATTGTTTTATCCCTAGTTATTTTTTAAATAGGGCCTCATTATGTAGTTAAGGCTGGCCTTGAACTCACTATGTAGCCCAGCCTGGCCTTGAACTCACAGTGATCCTCCTGCCTCAGCACCCGCAAGAGCTGGGATTATAGGTGTGCACCACCACACCCGGATATCCCTAACAGTATTTTTTTAAAAAGTCCTCAGTGTTCTAGATCTAGCAGTATTCTTTATCTGTTACTTCTAGAATCATGAATTCCAAAAACATAAGACTTCCTTGGTATAGGAAAAAAGACCTCAAAATTTTGGATTGTGAGCATTACAAAACATCCTCATATTCTAGATTTCCTGATAGTCTAAACTTCACACATACTCTCTCTAGAATTCCTAACATTGAAACATCCCTAGTATTCTGAAAGTTCTGGCCTATAAAAAAATATAGAGTTTGAGATGCACAGGCATTCCAGAGCACCTGGGTTTTAGAATAAGTCATCTTTAAGGTCTCCTGTGTGTGTTCTAGAGTCTCTGACATCCTGAACCCCATGTCATTATGAATTTCTTGAAATACAAACAAAGCCTCCAGTGTTCTGAAAGGGCTAACAGTCCAGATTATCTCCCATTCTCTAGATATCCCAGTAATTCAGATTCCTTTTTATATTCTATAATTCTTAGTATGACATAAATGTGGACATGAAAAATATTCCTACTAGTGGAGATTCACAGGTATCCTTTGATACTCACTTCTTCTACAGTCAGACTTTCTGGGCCTTTTTTGGGAAGAACAGCAAGTCTGTACTCTCTGACGTGCAGGGGAGAATCCTAACACTGTTAAACTATTAGCACTGCAGATAGTCCTGGGTTCTGGATTCCCTAGCATCCTAGGTTCCTCTCCACTGTATTTCAGTAGTTCTAGCATTCCCAAAACTCTGGAATTCTTGAATTAGAATATTCTAAAATCCCTTGCTTCTAGTCTGGCCTACTTTCTCTCTTCTTTACTAGGCCAAGGAAAAAACTGCAATAAACTTCCCCGAGGAAGTGCCACATGGACAGACATGATTTGGGGGAAAAAACCCTAAAGCTTTCAGGCTAAGGTGAGTTGAACCTGCCCCGACAGGTGACTGGGCAGCCAGGGATGCTGGGCAAGGTGTTTGTAGTGGCAAGGTTTGGGGTACAAATGCTCAGGATGAAACAACTTAGTTGCCACCTGGGTTTCTGCCACCTATAGACTTGCGGGAACTCTTCCTCCACTCTGCCCACATGGGGCTCACCTCGCCTCCCAACTCTGAGGGCTCCCGATCCAGGCTGGGACAATGGACTCTCTCATCACACCAACCACAGGGACTGGTTCAGCAGTGCTCACCTGCTGAATTCAAGCCAATGAGAATCAGTCCTGTGATGTCTGCTAGAGAGGGAAAGAGGCTGAGAGGCAGAGGCAGAGACGTTGCTAAGGAGCTTTTAGGAGACATGAGGCCACGGTAGGAAATCTGACTGAAGACGATGCATTTGAGAGGAAAGCAAGAGGTAGGAAGACATTCTGAGTATTTGAACCCTGGATGCGGCCATACTTAAAGCCACTGTGTGAGCCAATATATTCCCTGCTTTGGTTAATCCAGGAAAAGCAGATGTTGCTGAATCTATAGCCAGGAATCTGGTTGAGCCCTGTATCTTTCCCCACCCCTTCCCTGGAGATCCCCAAACTCACAAGAATGCAATCAAAGTGATGGCAGTGAGAGTTTTATTGCGGAGGGTGACTTTGGCTTCTAGAAAAGGGGGAAGATGTAACAATGACCACCGACAATGACCACTCTAAGGGGGCCCTGGCCCTGAACCCAGGGCTTCAATAGGAAGCAAGGAGGCACCTGAGGCCCCCGGGACTGGAGTATCCAAAGGCACCGTGGCATCTGTGTTCAAAAGGAAGTTTCGTTGAGCTTCTTCTTGGGAGGCGTGAGGGGAGCCCCAAGACCTGTGGAGGGCCGAGGGGCTGGAGTTGGTGGCCTTTGAGGCTCGGGCGGGTTCCGCACCAGCTCCTGGCAGCGCTCCACAAAGCTGCCACCCCCACGGCGCCGGGCCTCCACCTGCGGGGGGCTGGGGCTCCCACGGTGGCCGGACAGGGAGGTGCTGCTGGAGGCTGAGTGGAGACTGAAGGGACAGGAGGTCAGTGCTGGGTAGCAGGGCCATCGTTTCCCCAAGGCCACTCCCTCCAATGCTCAGACTGGGAAGTGGGGCTGCAGCTACCTGGTGAGGGAGGCACGGGGGGAGGGGCTGGGGACCACACTGCGCGAGGAAGCCAGGGGGGCCAGCTCACACTGCTCCAGCTGTCCCATGAGCTCCTCCTCTGTCAGGCCACCTGCTGTGGGAAAGAAAGCAGGGTCGGCCAAGACAGCGACGACTGGGCAAGGCACAGGGCTGCAGTGCAGCACACAGGAGTGGAAAAGGCTAAGAGACAGGGTGGGAAGGTAGGGCAAGGAGGGGCTGGACGGCCAGGAAACGCATCAGAGAGCAAGGACTTGGGAGGAGAGATCAGGCCACAGTGAGCGAGGATTCGGCTTCCGAGAGAGGGTGGGCCTGGGGCAGGGAGTACCTGGGGCCTGGCCGAGGCCGTCCATCGCAGTGGTCAAGTCCCACATGGCCAGGCTACCGTTGGCCTGGCCAGTGAGCAGGTAGCGCCGGGGCCGCGAGCCCAGCCGCCGGGAGCCCTCACACTCCAGCACCGTGAAGGCGGTCGTGGGCGAGCCGTCCACCGAGCGCACGGAACACACTCTGCGGAGTGAGGGCCCGAGGGAGTCGTCCTGCCTGCGCCCCTGTTGTCCTCACACCCTCCCTGGGTCACAGCCCCACCACTGCAGCTGGAGCCTGCCGTAGGTACTGGAGCTGGAACCCAGGGCCTTCACCTCGAGCTACATCCTCAGCCCTTTGGGACAAGGTTTTGCTGTGTCACTAAGCATCCCGGGCTGGGCTCCCACTTCTGATCTGCCTGCCTTCTCCCCTCAGACTTCTGGGATTCCAGATTCAGGCCACCACAGCGGGCTCAGCTTCTGTTCTGGCCCCTCCAATGAGGTCCCCAAATCTACTGTTTTCTCTTCATCAGCAGCAGCCCCGACTGCCCCAGCCCTACCCCAGCACCACCACGCTGCCTGGTGGACCTCTGGGTGCCCCGCTTGCCCTGTTCCTTTCTTCAGGTCTTAGCCAGGGGCTTCCTCCACTTCCTACCATGTGCCCAGCGTCTCTCCCACAGCGGCCTCCTCCTCGGGCTCCTGGCCTCCAGTCTGACTCCCACTCATCCCCCACAGCGGCCCCGCCTTCTGGGTGCTCAGACAAAGCCTCGGGCTCTCCTCATGACTGACACAGCCCTGCTCCAGTCTTCTCCAGAGCCAGGCCATGCACTCCTGGCCTGTGACCCTGTGTGGCCCTTCCTCGTCTCTCCACATTCCACAGCCTCCCTTCCTTCTGCTCGTTCCTACTTAGCTTCCAGGTCTCCACCAGACACTTTTTTTTCAAGACAATCTTCCCAGCCGTGGCATGGGAGGCTGAGGCAGGAGGATTGCAAGTTTGAGCCCAGCAGCCTGGGAAACTTAGTGACTTAGCAAGACCCTGATAGGAATAAAAAATAATAATAATAATAACTGGGGATGTAGTTCAGTGCAAAGACCCTGGGTATAATACCTACGAGCACCAGAAAACAGGAAGGAAGGAAGGAGGAACACCCTCTCAGGCCTCTACTCAGACCGGAGCAAGCAGGGCTCTGGGCTCCCACAGCTTCCTGTGCTCATCCAGGCCTGACGCTCCGGCTGCACCTCCCCACCCCACTGCTGACTTCCCCCTGCACCTGCCTATCCCGTCCCAACTGCACTGGGCTCTGTCTGGTGTCCAGCAAGTAGGGTCTGAGGTCTCTCCAGTGTCACTCCTCCCATGCCTGTCACACGTTTGATCCCTGAAGACCCCAAATTCACCAGGCCTGTTTGCCTTCCCAGCCTCTGTTGCTTCAGGGCCCCTTGCCTGGGACCCCTTCTGGCCTCTGTGACCCAGCTGGAACCTCAGCTTCTCCCTGACCACCCTCCCTCTCAGTTGGGTGGGGCAGTACTCACCGCTGGCCAGTGGATGACAGGCGCACGAAGAGCTGGCTGGCACTCGGCACCACCTTCTGAACGAACACCTGCTGGTCGTCCCGCTCACCGTAGGGGCCTGGCCGGAGAGGGACGGGGCAGGGCTAAAGAAACTAAAAGGCCGGGGTCCCCTCCCCAGTGCCGAAGCCCTCCCACCCACACGTCCCAACCTAGGGCTGCTGAAGTTGGAGCCGCAGGGTCAGTGGGATTGGATGGGGCCCCAGGGGATCGGGTGCTGGGCCCGGGGCAGGCAGCAGGAGTCAGTGGGGATGGCAGTGTGTCGGGTCAGCTGGGCCCGTGGGGTCAGTGGGGAGGGGATCAGGGGTGATGGGCACCAATGTCATTGCCAGCACTGCAGCCTCCATGCCCATCCGCGGACTCCAGGGCCAGGATCTTGAAGGAAGCAAGTGGGGTGGAGCCCGGCTGGGTGGAAATCATGCCCCGGAAGCGAGTCACAGACCACGTCCGCACATGGTTGTTGTCCGCACAGACTGAGGAGCACAGGGGAGGTCAGGCCTGCTGCGGTGGAGACGCTGCCAGATCTTCCTGAGCCCCAGACGACCCCTTGCAGAACCTCAGCTCCAGTTCCCCCATTCTTCCCTTACAGAGGATTCTTTGTCGCTCAGGACTCCAAATGGTCAGGAACGCTCTGTCTGAAGTGGCCTCAGAGCTGAGCCCACGTTCCGCTGTCACCCAGCCCTATGCCCCTCTCGGCTCCTGCCTGGACCACTGCAGCAGCCACCCCACTGTTCCTGTCCTGTCCCCATGGTCCGGGTCTACATTCAGCCAGAGCCTGGCCAGACCCACCCCCAGCTTCTGCCCCACGGCCTCTTGGCCCTCGCCTCTCCTGCCTGCCCATCACTCGCCCTGCTGCAGGTACGGGGCTTCCGATCCTGCTCAGATACATCAGGCGCCCTCTTCCCTCGAACCTATGCAGTGCCTGTTCCCTCTGCCTAGCATGCTGGTCTCTGCCAGTCTGCACTGCTCCTCCCTTCCTCTCTGCTCAAAGGTCCTTCCTCAGGCAGGCCTTCCCCGAACCACCCTTCTCCAGCGACCCAGTCATTCTTACGAGAGACATGTGAAGGCTGTCAGAATCAAAATGGCGCTGCTTATGCTAACCCTGACGATAAAGCAACAAGCAATTAAAGCCAAGAGGTTTTGTGCGTGTGTGTGTGTGTGTGTGTGTGTGTGTGTGTGTGTGTGTGTGTGGTGTGGTATTGGGGATTGAATCCAGAGCCTTCACACTGAGCTACACCTCCATCCCTTCATAAAAAAAATTTTTTTTTGAGAAAGGGTCAGCTGTGTGTGTGGTGGCACACACCTGTGATCCCAGCACTCGGGAGGCTGAGGCAGGAGGATCACTGACAGTTCAAGGTCAGCCTGAAGAACATAGCGAGACCCTGTCTCAGAAAGAAAGAAAGAAACTAAAGGCACACACACAAAAAACAGACAAAAACCAGAGAGGCTGGCCTCTAACACACTCTCTCTCTCTCTCGTTTCAGCCTCTCAGGGTGCTGGGATTATAAGCGTGCACCACTACACCAAGCCTGAAGGAAAGGTTCTGACCATGACTGCCTGATAGGAGCTCTCACAAAGGACACAGCCAGAACCACACTTGTGCGGAGGTCAGCGCAACCTCACACAGCTGCCTGTTTAGCCTTGGACCAATGCCTCTTGTTATTAACCATCGTGGCCAAGGAGTGTGGTTTCAACATATCTGATGTAATCCCTCCCCATTTGTCTTTCAAAACTTCCCCTCGCCTGGGAACTTACTGAATAGGTCCACAGTTTACTATAGCAACACTGTGCTGTTTCCAAATAGGTGTCAGTAGTCTTTGGAAAACTTCCTTCTGATTGTTTTAGTTAGGCTGATGCTCTCTCATCACACACCACTTCATTTTTATTCATGGTCCTTATTATCACTTGGTGGAGATTTACTTATTTACTTATTTATTAACTTCTTTGGGACAGGGCCTTATGGAATTGCCAGGCTGGCCTCAGTCTTGTGATCCTCCTGCCTCAGCCTCCTGAGTAGCTAGCTAGGGCTGCAGGCATGTGCCACCACACCTGACTTTATTCTTTTTATTTCTGTAGTATTGTGGATGGAACCCAAGGCCTCAAAGATGCCAGGCAAACACTGCCACTGACATACACTCAAGCTCTGCATTTCTATTTATCTGTTGTCTGCACTAAAATGTTAGCTCTGCGAGGGCAGGGACTT